AGCATTATACATTTAATAAAATTTTAGTAAGCGGTTATCAAAGGAAAAATATATATATAAAAATTGATTTAATTAACAAATATACAACTCTTTCTGATGATCACCTGTACCCAAATTTTCTGTCCAAAGTGAAATAAAAATTTTGTTGAAAATAATATATATAGAGGTGAGTTAATAGAAATCAAGCAAATTTTTTGTAATTTTAACAAAAATAACTTAACAAAACCTTAATCAAATTTAATAAAAATTTTTTTAAATAATTTTTACAAACTTGTAGAATCAATTTTAAAAAAAAATATTAAATTTGATTAAGTTTAAGTTATCTTTGTTTAAAGTTTTTAAAAAACTTATTAAAAAATATTTGCTTGGTTTCTATTAACTCAATCCCCATATATTTGTTAAAAAAATATATATTAACAAATAACAAATAAACATCAAATCCCTAACTATATATATACTATATTAAACTTATTAAATAGGTTATTTGAAGCCGATTAGTGATATAAGTTACCTCCAGCCTATCAGCTGAACCACCCTCACGGGCCGGGGCCGATTTCCGAGTTGTAAATAGCAATTTATCGATTTAAGTTACCAAAGCCTTTAGGTAAGTTGCCGAATTAGGTTGGACAAAATTCCCAACCCTTTGTTGAGACATTTTCCCTAGTAATAGGATACATTTCTACGTGGTGGTGGCTGGGATAAAGATAATTCGATTTGATCATGTGAAAATTCCAAACTTAATTTTCATAACAAAGATGCCAGGGGAGCCCAACTCTAATAAAAACACTAATTAGATAGATAATTTGGACCATATCAATGATTATACAATATTTAAACTGCATATTTATGCGGTTTTTTTATTTGCATCTGTTTTATATATACATATATATATAGTAAAGTCTCGAATCTAAGCTACCCGATTTTTTTTTAGTAACTTTGAAATACTCAATTTCTATTGGCCAATCTTAATAAAAATTATTACGAATTCCTTCGCTAGCCAAATTCTGAGTTGGACTTATAAGCTCCAATATAAATCTTTAAATTCAATGTTTCAGTTCATAAGTCAATCGTCCAACAGTCCTTTAAGAGTATTGGCATAAAATGCACGCATGAGTTCGACAAATCAGGTCACTTACGCCAGAGCTTTGACGTTAATAGCATCGGTATTAAAGTTACAATAATTACAACGTTATTCATGCCTGCACCTAACCGAAACTAAGCCCCTGAAATTTATATTGCAGCATTAATTAGTAATTTCAGGCAGGTACAACTTCGCTACTTCAATGGAATGTCTTAACTTTTCTAGATTAAGATCAACTTGCTCTTAGTCGTTTATTTAAAAAATTGTAATTATAAATAATTTACAGACTTCGTACCCCCGAAATAAACTCGTCAAACGAAAGTTCGAACAAGCACGGCAACTCTATTGATAAAATTGCTTAAATAGGTCATTCTTTAAGTAACTTGATAATATAATTTGTAAATCGTAATACAAATGATAAAATTTTCTTCTGAAAGGCAACCTTTCAGATAAATTATCACTGTTTTCCCGTTATTTAGAGAGAATTTTATTTAAATTAGCTAATCTTTTGATTTAATGTTCAATTAAAAAATTATCGGGTCCATAACTATGAAAAAGAAACAATTCTATTAGTTTCATATTCATGAAATAAGCAATTCAGATTACTGTTAAAGATAGATATCTTACGCTATCATGCCTTGTGTATATATTCCTAATACAATACCAGAAGCAACTCGCGAAATAGGATCATCAAATCTCGTGAAAAATGCAAGAACATAAAATATTTGCCAATGATGTATATGAACATCTACACTTTTGCTATACGGCTGTGGTTCATTTTTAGTCTCTTCACCGCTAGCAACTGGTTCAGAATTTTCAGTATTTTCAGCATTATCATTGCTCGAATGTGCTTCCACGTCAGCTTTTTTTTTCATCTTAAATATACCTACAATCTTAAACCATTTCTTTGATATAAATCTATCATTTTGTTCTCTAACAGCTAATAAGCCAAGCAAAATTAATATTACTGGGATTATCAAACTACCTATATACCAAGCTAAAAATATTCCATCATGTCCGAGTTGACCGGATTCGGTGAAAATTACACCTAGATAAATATGATAAGCCGCAAATGCCAAAATTATAAGTATTGCTACAATTATTACTATCCACATTTGTATTGCCCAATTACGCCATGTTGGTAAAGATTGTTTGGCAAAGGGAATTTCTGCTATACGACCGAACGAATACATTGCAACGTAAAATGAGAGAATTGTGATCCAACTTTATTTAAATGTTTATAAAAATATTTTTCAGAAATTATCGTTAAAATTCTAGAAAGTCTTTAAAAAATAAGGAACTTACTCGAAAGTATATGAATATCCACCAAGCACAAATACAATAAATCCATATCTAATACACGCAATGATATCGCTATAATGTTTACTTGGCGTTTTCTCATTTAACTCCCATTTAAGAAAGCCTGCTATTAGTCGATATAAAGGGTATGCAATTATAACAAAGGCTATATTAAAATATATATATGTAAGTGGTTCAAACGCTGTAAATCCCCAAGCTGAAAAACTGTTCAACCCTTCGGGAAAAACAGAATTATTAAAATTATTAGAAGACATTATTGAATTATTTTTTTGACCACTTTATGGTGAAATTTTGCATTTTTGTTCGTGCAGAATTCATCATTATATATCATCTGTACTCAACGCTTATAATTTCTATTTTAGATAATTGTATTCTATAATAATCGATATTAAATCAACTTCATAGAGGACATTGTTATTTTCATGTTCGTTACGCAGGTTCGTAATTTTTCTAAACCTGCATCATTATAGTTATCGTTATAACTAAACTCGGTTTGGAAAGAAACGCCAACGTGCGAATTTTTATATATACAAAAATTTTGGAATCAGTTATAATTAGATGCGTATTCATA